CAGGAGCGTGGTTGATTCTTCCGTCGCAATGCGGTGGTCACGTACGTTGTCCTTGACTGTTCTCTCTGCCTCTCCCACTCTGACTCGCTGTCTTTCTGGCAGCTCGTTTCAGTCAGTCCCTTCCACCCACACCTGATTGATCATCCTTCCTCTCGTTCCTCGTGAACGAGCATTATTTATAGCGAGATGTAAGTGCATGTGCAGTCGCTTCGGCCTGGCCGATCCGATGCACCCAAGACCAGGCGTTGGCTAGGTTGATGGATCGCTTTCGATGGCCAGGGCTTTTTAGATGGCTCGTCATAGGCTGCGAGGCTTTTTCATGCAACCATAGAGATACAGATGGTACTTCTGATATCCTTTTTCGAGAAACGAGATGGCACATGGGGTACCTAGGGAGGTACTAAGATCGCGAGTGACCTTTAGACTTTTGGATTTGACAGTCTTTAGATTGGTCAGATAAGTTCGACTTATCTATATCGGAGATGGTGACGTCTTGATTAGGCTTTGATCAGGTCATTACATATCAGATGATTAGGTCTTGATACAATGTTAGGTTAGGTCTTTTGATAGGCTTTTTGACACAATGTGGAACGATAGACATGTATTGTGGTCTTTGGTGGTGGCATCCTTTTTATAATAATATTAGGTATGAAATTTTCAGGGGATTCTGTAATGAAATGAAACGTTCAGGTTCGATGCAAGGGATTTAACAGTTCGCTTTGAAGATTGACAGGTGTAAAATATACTAATCGGAGGAACGTGACGTTTGAACTACTAGTTACGGGAACTTTGCAAAATTTACTTTCTAATTTTCAGCGTTCCAATTGTTATTTTTAGAGCAAGAGAAAATACGTAACATCCTCGAAGCGGGATGGCGACGCCATTGTTACGAAACTTTTCTTTCTCGGTACATGGAATTTAACTCTGGTACCCTATTTTTAAGTGGTCCGATTGTGTAAGGCAGTTTGTACTTCCCTGTACTTTAGATTCTACGTTAGTACCCGCGTTACGAACTTTCTTGGACACCGAATGAGGAATCCTAAAGCGATTTCTATCGACCGGTAACTACGCCATTTACATTGACGCAATTTCCCGATGCTGTTGTGCAAAAGGGTACCATTTACAAAAAAAAAAAAAGGAACTTTCACAAAGACCATATCGGAATGGCTTGGTAAAACATTTGCAAACGCGATGGCTACCAATCGCAGACCTACTGCAATCTCACCGAAGACAAAGGCCACTTATCCTAACTCCAAAATACCCGTATTCTTTCACTTGTCCGGAACTCTTTGACGACACACTGCGAATTCACAATGGCCAATTACTACCACGTATAACCACGTTAACCGGTCCGATCGTGACGTATCCGAGGCGTGTTTCGGGCGTAAAAGTTTTCCAGCGTCCTCTCCCCCTCTCCATCCTGCGGATCTTTTCGGGGTACGCGTGTCCAGTCTCCACCGGGTACGTTTCTTCCAACAGAACAGCATCCAACGGCGTTGCCTCGCTGCTTATTAGGTTTCAAGGAACGATTAACCCCGAAAAATTGCGAGCTTTCATGGGTGAACAATGCCAGGGCTGATTGGTACTCGCTTTAGAATTAGAACCCGAATTTTGCATTGTGCAACCGGACCAACAGCGAAACAGCTGCACCACCGTTGCTTTCTTCTGGCCTGCATCAGGCCGACACTCTTTTTTCTCCCTTTCTTTCTCTCTTTCTCCATTCTTTTTTCTCTTTCTCCTCCTTGCCTCGCTTCGACTTCCTCCGCATTCAAGCTACGCTTCCGTCGTATCTTAATCGAATGGACGTTGGTACTGTCTCTCTTTCCTCTTGTCCATTCCTGACGTTTGACGAAGGTACTCCGAGTGCAACTCATCCTTGATACTGCAGCTTCGACTTTGCATTACCGTTTCGTACCGTTTGCGTTGAATTTTAGGTTTATCTGCAAAAGAATTATTTATTTGTAATTTTGGGGACTCTCGATTTCGCATAACTCGAAATCCCTGTAACGCAGAGTCTCTCATGGTACTATCGTATTTAGGTGAATAAGTAAATTGGGTGCTACAGTCGTAATAACGTGATTTGTTTCGGATATGGTTTTAAAGTGAAGTTTGAATTATAATTGTTTCGTGTCGATGCGTTTTATTGAAATTCTTTTGGATGGAAGGACGAATCGATTTCGTTGATTTTTCTCGCGCGTTTGGCAAGCTTTCTAGGGTCCAAAGGACCATACAGCATCCCTGACGACCGAACGAGGGAGAAACCTGTTTCGACGAAGAATGTAAACGGAATATCGGCGAGTCCTGTTAACCTTTCCTCGTCCTACTCACCTGTTCGCAAAAACGAGCAAGGATACTGTTGCTCCGTTCTATGCTAGTACTACTTTTTACGAATGTTCAGGGTCAAAATTATTTTTTACCCTCGATAATTCGGGAAAGTAAATAACATTGAAAAATAATCTCTTTATAGTATACTAAGCAAATTACACGTTCCTAAATGATCCGCCATTACGATCCTAGGGTAGGAAATATTATTTCTAGTAATATTGCCCCTATGCTCAGTGCGGTTTAGCATTTAATGAATTTAATAGGCGCACAAAATTGAAATTGCCGACTCTGCGAAACCCGAAGAATTATCATTTTATCGAAGTTAATGGCCACCGTGTGTCGCCATTTTCATTAAAAGAATTACTCTTTGAAACGTATCATCGATTCTAACTTAACAGTCGTAAACAGACTATTTATAAAGTGGAAAAAAGCGAAAAATCCGCTGGCGAAGAGTAGCATAGGCGCAGCGCGTGTTGCACAACACGCTAGACGCACGAAACGCGCCATAAAACGTGCGCGAAGCCGCAGAACGCAACGGGAGAAGGCTGAGCCAGCGTGCGGAGATTCGTTTCCTCGATCCTCCGTAGCGAGCACATAATAAACTTTAAAGCTGGCAAGACGACTCAAATGCATCCGCGGAGAGTGTGCACGAGCCCGCGCGATAGCGAGTAGGTGGCTAACCTTGACGACCACTTACACGATCGACGCTCGTGCGCGCGCCCGTATAGACGCACACACAGATAGGCCACGCACGAGTTGCAGCAGCGAACACAGACACGCGACGCTGCCGGTATACGCGATACCCGACCGTGTACATATGTATACGGCTTGACTACCGTGCGTCTACATAGGGTGTCGGTTAGCTGGCATATGGGCCAAATGGTTTCGAGAAGAGTGGAAAAACAAAAAGAATCATGGCGGCACTTCCTGAAAAAGCGAGATGGCCGCGAGGACAACGAAACGGGTGTGTCTAGTATGTTGCGGCGAATCGAGGAGGAGGTATTGGAACAGGTGCGGCAGACCGCTCGTGGACGTCCTCCGTTCCACGAAAGGCCGCTGCAAGGATATTTTTTTCAAGTAGTACACACGGTTAACAAAGAAAGCGGAGGCTGCCAGTATAAACAAGTTCAGAGTTAAAAGCGTTCAACGAGTCTCGTTGTCCGTGGCTGCACAGGAACGAAGATTTTTCGCGTGAAATTGGTGCCGGATCGGTTGCACCGTTGATCACGTATCTATAAGAGTGCTCTCCGCGTGCCGCTATTGGCCTGTCGCGAACAAGCTTTATCGACACGCGATATACAAAAGGGAAACGATCGTTCGCGACCCTCTGCTTATCTCCGTCGGTAATCTGGCCGTGTTGTTAATTTATACGCGGTATCGAGCACGCCGCACCGATGGAGAACCGGCTGATCGTTAATTATAATCGTTTCGAGGCGATTCCTCGGTATTTTGTGCGTTTCGATTCGCGTTCGTTTCATCGGCGTGCGCTAAAAATAACCTCTCGTGGCTCGGCGACTCCTTTCGTCGAGACGCGTTTTAAACGCGTCTTTACGAAAATGCGCGTATCTGATTCAGCATCTGGTCGGTGCTCGTTACGAGCGTAACGTAAATCTTCGTTAGAGGTTCCTAGCCGCGGCTTATTTCCCTTATCAGATTCGTTGTTACATGCTCGGTGCCGGAGGTGTATATTTCGGTCACCTGGTAGAATCCCCATGCAAGGCTCGCCGCCGCGCACGCTCGACATTGCAAACCGTTCCCCTCCTCTTCGCTTTCGACGATTTCCCCCACCAGTGTGCCATTGGACGAGCCAGCTCGGGACGACGGAGGGAACCGGAGAGGGGAGGTCGATTCTCCCGTTTCGGCCGTGCACTAGAACTTGACTCCTAAGCTCGACAGTGACGGCGCAAGCTCTATCTGCGTCTTTCTGTCCCTTTTCTTCTCCTTTCTGCTCTTATTCGCATCCATCGTTCTTTTCTCTCTCGTTCTAACATCTCCTCCCTTCCCCCACCACGATCGCATCGCACCAAACTCGCTCGGAGACCTCGAGCGGTAAGGTTACATTTCTATCGTCGAGTATTACACGTTTTTATCGATTACGAATAGCGTACATCGTCGTTCAGGCCACGTTGCTCGTATTCGCGTTACGTAGGCCGAACAGATAGAATGGAAAGTTCGGGGATCACTTTCGCGCTCGCTTTTTATCGTCCCGTTCTTATGCGAATGAATCGCTGACCTACATTTCGTAATCATCGATAACGTAATCGAAATTGCCCTATGAAAAAAATCATACTCGGCGATACGATTACGATTACTGGCACATTATCCGGATAAGTTCGATTGGGAGTCGTTCCTAGTTCCGTGTGCTCGACATTTTCCTCGGCGAAGAAAAGTGCAAGTAGAGACGGAACATTACTCGTCAGGCGGTACTCGCCTGCACTCCTTCCTTCTTCAGCGTCCCCTCTTCCCCTCTTCACAGACCCGCCGCCACCTTTTCGTCCTCCATCGCCTTCTCCTCGTCCTTCACCTCCTCTTGATCCTCTATCGTCCCTCTCTTGCCTCTCCTGTCGCTCTCCCTCCTCTTGCACCCTTCCTCCGTCCTCCCTGTCCCCACCCCGCCTCTCTACCGGCTGCACGCTCACATGCAACGAGCCAGACCGGCCGGCTGGCACTCAGTTGCCTTTAGCGCCGTGCATCTCCGAGTCAGTCAGTCAGTCAGTCAGTCATTGAGTCAGTCAGTCGGTGAGTCGGGTTGACGGTACACGCGTGAGAGGAGGTATCGTCTGTTGTAACTACACTTTTTACTCTCGCTACTCTCCTTCTTCCCCCTTCCTCCCTTTCTCGTTGCGTTCTTTGTCGTTCTATCTCGCGAAATTTATTCGCGTCGCGGGTCATTCGGTCGTGTCGAGTGTGCTGGCCGCATGCTTCTCTATTCGTGGCACGTGTGCAACGCTCTGGACGCGGAGAAAAACGTGCGCTCGTCGCGTGCTTTACCTACGTTTCGTTAAACCGAGCCGAATCGCGACGACTGTCCGTTTCCAGCAAGTTCTAAGCGTGTACCGCGGCACGTGCGTAAGTAAATTGATGCAGAAGTAAATTAATGCAGAAGTATATCGAACGTGTATCAGGGAATCTCCGCGTTACCTGCGAGGTGCAATAACTGTGCTCGTCTTCCTGCGAGGGACTCGTTCGAGAACACGCGTCCCGCCTCTTCCAAGTTGTCCTTCCGAGCAAGCGGTGCAGCAGTGATGAAATTTGAATGCTATTCCGTTCACGCGCGCTACGGCGAAAGGATTGCTTTTGGAATTACAGATGTTGGGAGGAACGGATCATCGTGTCCTCCTTTCGTCAGTGAGAATTTCGACTCTGCGTCCGTATGCAAAGCAGTGCAACAGTGAAGTTCAATGCCAGAAAGGTTCACGTGTTTGTTTTTTCTCGGTACGTGCTGAATCTTAAAATGTGCCGTTTCAAGACGGTCCACTCGCGTGGTTTATCCGCGCTGCGTATAATCATCGATGACGTACCTAGATAAGCGTCTTCTACCCTTCGTTGCGTCCAGGCAGAAAAATTCCCAGAGTTCCTACTAGAGCGCGTTATTGCGGCTGGGTAGCATTCGCGCGTTCGCGGCAACAGTGTAGACACGTTTCTCCTAGGTTAGTAAAAAAGGAATGTCGTTCGTATCGTGTTACTCTTCTTCCTCAAACGCAGTTGTCGTTTCAAAACGCGTCGATCGGATTCTTTTCGCGACGTGCTCTCGTATATGTACGTAAATACGTTTATGCCGGGATGGGAACGCAATTAGTAGTCGACGGTTATATCTAGACTCACGTATCGGCATTTCTGTCGATGTAGAACGTGATTGATGGTTAATTTGGTAGATGGCACTTCCTGAACTTTCCCGCGCGTTCGAGACGTATTTATCCGATCGCCATAGGACGATTCCGATGAAAAACGATGCTCGTGCTACGTCGCGAGTGACGTCACGGATGTTTTGCATTTTCTTTTCAGTGCCAAAGACCGAAGTCGTCGCGACGCTAAAAGTGTCACTGGATGCCACAAACATTATCGATCGCGCAAAGTATATTGTCACAGTGTGTCGTAATCAAACGTGACTTCTGCTGCAGTGACTTTTGCGGCAGCGTGGTACGTCCATTATGCTTGTCCCAAGTGCACGTGCCAAGCGAGCGATCTTTAGCCTCGATTACTCGAAATTCCTCGAATTTCACCATCGTTTCGAGCGTATTATGAAAAATTCGCGGCACAGCGCGTTATTCCGTCTGCTACTCTTACGATATATCCGAGTCATTTATCGAACTAGCTGTCTTATACTTCGCGTCTTTCCTTCCGTGAAAAATGTCGCCATGTATATTCACGAACGCGGACGAATTTGCGCGGATGCGTAACGAATTCTTCTCGAAACCTGCCATTTTCAACGGGGCACTAGTATTGCGAATTTTACCAGAAATGGTACGTAAATAACACATATTGCTTTATTTTATTCCATAAAATTGGAGATTTTTATAATTTCGAAAGTAGACTGTTTTTATTCTATATAAGATCGATTATTTCGGTTCGAATCACGAAATTGATGTTTAAACGATGTATTATTTTTCTACGTATCATGGAAGATAGGTTACGGTACGAGCTTCCAGAAATTTATTATGTTTGTATGTTTGTCCATGGGTGCATTGGTTGGTGTATTCGTGAATCATCGTCCCCTAACTGTGAAAGTGCGCAGTTTCAGCCTACCCTTCTTCCTCTCTTGAATCTTCTACGCGTATTAAGGTTGATCTGTACTGTGACTGCACATTGCAGCGGTTAATTTTTTGTTGCGTTCGAATACGATGCACACACCGAGTTCCTGTTCCGTCGTCTCTTCGGCTTGTAAACAAGTTTACGTGCGCCCTTCGCGTAGTTTTGCATAGTTCGTCGCTCGATATATGTATCGACCTTCCGCTTCGTTAACGCGACAAAGTTGGGAACTAATTCCTTCTTGCTTTACTCACTTCCTACGACTCTTTTATTTTGATCCCGTCAGTTCCGATACGATTTTCTCTAATTTGTTTATTTTTTATTTTCAACAAAAATTAGGGGATAGCGAAGATGACTTTAGTCTTGAAAATGACTTTAGTTGATGTCTCGAGGAATTAGTTCGATCCTGTAAGATCGTTAAATGGTTTCCCAAATTCAGCTTACGTTATGTCTACGTTGTGGTCCAAGGCCACTCGATGAATAGCACATCCAACACGTGAGAAATGGATAACGGGTGTAGCGTGTGTTATCGATTAACTTTCACGCTGCAAATGACAATAACATATCGAGTCGAGTCGCTCTGGATAAATAAATCATACGTGTTTGGGCCCCCTTTGTTTCTGTATGCCTCTCCTTTATTTTAGAAGATAAATCGTTGCCATTGTGCTCTGGCTGCCAATACCTCTTCAAAAACCCACGCAAGCAATTTCGAAACGTCGACAACACATCCCGTTACACGTGCTTTCTATTTTTTCTTCTTTTTTAAATATCGAGTATCGTGTCAGCTAGGAAGCAATTCTCGAATTTAATTATTATCGTAATCGGTGGTAAAACCGTGTAAAAATGCATAGTCAGAATAATTTTCTAATCAACTTGTCGATTACGTAATTCATTAGTCAATTATTTTTCATTGCGATTCTGATTCGAGACAAATAAAGTAATACATATCCATAAGAAGATGAAGTATGACAGTTAGCAGGTTAAAAGATTTGCAAATTCGGTTATCGTTATAGCGATCATGACAAATCTACTTGAAAGTAGCTTTTTGCACTTGCATCCTTGCCCGCGAAACATTAAAAATGTCACATAAATTATTTTTTATTTTCGAGAGGAAGAAAAACATTCTTCTTTAACACAACCTATCATGACCGGGCAAATGACAGGCAGACGAAGAAATAAAATAAGAAAAAATAAAAGAAAGAAATGTTAAGAAACAAAAATTAATTACATCCATGTTAAAAGAAAAATCCCAAAGACAAATGACTCAAGTGACAACGTTAAATAAGAAATTTTTAATTAAAAATTGGAGAAGTATCATAAGCTTCGTCGATTTCCTATTAAATATTTTCCTAGAAATCAGCGAAATTCAATTTTGTGAAATACCGCGCCGTCCGAGTCAGACCGTCCGATTCTACTTACGAAGCACCCGGTACATATCGATTCGCCTTTCTCAGTAGACGCGGTCTGACGTAGCCCCTTCGTCGGGTAACCTTGAACTTCGACCTCGGCTCCGGGGATCGCCATTGGAAATGCGTTTTCCCGCTTTCTTCCTCGTCCACCGCCCACGCGATCTTCCGCCGCGTTCGATCGCTCGAGGGGTGGGAAAAGGCGCGGGAAACGGGGGTGAAAATTCGTCGGTGTCCTCGGTAATGAGAGTCACGAGCGTGTTTCTTTTTCCCGGGTTGGAAAGGTTTACGTAACGATAGTCGGAACTCGGTGCACGGGCCTGCAAGCATTATCGTCCGGCGATGTTACGAAGCGGAGTCGTCAGGCGGATACACGCGACGCCGGGAGAATAGAAGATGCACCGCGGCATGCACGTGGACGTACGCTGCATTTTGCATAATTGGCCTCGCGCGTTACGTAAGCATTGTTTCTCCACGGCGGCGATTGTCGCCGATGCACAGCCAAGGCAATCGCATTTTGCTGCCTACATGCTGTGGTCAAGGTCGCCGTTTGTAACATCGGCGCAAGGAATTCCGGTTACTCCGCGCTGTCTTCCTGCGAGGGGTGGACGTGCTTCTGGGAAATGTGTCTGTTGCTTTGGCGTGATAAATCCGCGTGATAGCTAAATTCCGAATCAACACACGGAGTGTATTTATTTTTGTTGAATTCGTTAATTATCCCTTTGCACTCTAGAGTCTCTCAGTCACCGTTTTGTTTTCAGACCTTGAGGAAATAACTAGATTTGAAGTAACTAGAATTTTATATTATTTCTTAAAGACATATTTAATTGATTGGCTGGTTGAAAGCAATAATTATAGTTGCTGTGTAAAATAAGCTCGTGTATCAACTAAATCAATTTTAAATGATAGGAAACAAACAAATCCTAATAAATCAATTGCTATTATTGCATATATTATTCCTAATTATACAGGAAATATTGAAATGAAGAAAGCCTGACTGACTTTCCTTTTTTTATTTTGACATAAATGGTACCAGCGAGCTTAGGAAAAAATAAGGAAAGCTTCGAATTGTTATATCTTTATAGGGAAAAATCTTCGAGTGCAAAGGGGTAATTGTTTCACGAATAGGAAATATATTTTTCACGGTCGAATGCACATGGTGGTCAATGTAGCACGAGAAAGTGTAAATGAACGAAACGATTTGTAGATAACAGCGAAACGAATTCATTTTTCTTATTTGGATCTTGCATAAGAATACAGGAAGAACGTGGTATTAAAATGATACGTTATTTACAAAGGAATGTAGTACGATAATCGAAATGAACCAAATAATTGTTAGATAACGATACGAATAATTTGTTTTCACTTGAATTTTAAATTAACCCGGAAAATGTTACGAAATTAATTGTACATGATAAAAAAAATTACGTAGTCGAATACAAAATTTTGAATCACATTTAACCAGGCATAGTAGGTTTAAACAGAAGAATCGTAACGGAAATAGTCGATGCTCGAGGTCTGTTGCAAATAAATTAAATTTATTTTCACGGTTTGCGTGAAAGTAAAAATCGGTTTGCGGTGTGTATCGATCCCTCGAGGAAGTTCACTTTCCGTGATTAAAATGTCGGATATACCTAAAAGATAAAGCCTCTGAGAAACGGCACGGATTTCACGAGTTGTACGAATTTTTTACTGGTCGACTCTCGCTTTTCTTCGCCGGTCCCGAATGCGTAAAACGCGTGAAATATCGGCGTCCACGACAGTCGGTCGAGGGATTCTTTTGATCTCGCCGGTGTCGCGTTCCAACTTTTCATTCTCGCTTTTACTCTCACCCTCTCCGAATTTCGCTGGTTTATTCCCGGTTTATGCACGTATTTCCATCTTCCGCAGCTTCGAACGCGCTTCCAAGGATCAGCGATCTTCGAAACGCTCCGGAATTCGATTTCTAGCCGCGCTATAGCCCGTACCGAATTTGTCGATCGCTCAGGGACGCTCGGTTGCTCTCTACCCCCACCACTGGCATCGATCGCTCACCGCCACCATTAGCTTCAGTTGCTCTACCCCCATTACCGGATTCGATTTCTTCATAACAGTCGTTACGGTTGATATCAGATTATTTCAGCGATATTTGCGTATCGTTAATTAACGGAAACTTGTTTATACGTATTTCCATTTTGTTTATTTAGAAATTCGTTTATTTTCAGTGCGTTTGGAGTCTAGTTGTTTACGGTAATTATGGAATCTATTTGCATTTCGAGCGTGTTTATTTATGATTCGAGTTTATCTGCGTTCTATATTTTCTCATTTTTGTTTAGGTATAGCACCGTGGTTAGGTATCGATCGTTATCTTCTGTTTATAATTGATGTCGCGCTGTATAAGATAATGGAATTTTTGGCGGAATAATTTTTATCGACGTGTACAGTGCGTTCGGGAAAAGAAGGCACAGCGTGTTTACATCCTTACGGCTGATTAACTAACATCTCATCATCACAGTGATCGCTATTGGCCCAAGATGGTGACGAAGATCATCGGTCGCTGTTTTTCGTGATCGAGGGAGAATCAGTGGAATTAATCAGTCGTGGGGATCTATACACGTTGTGCCTTCTTTTCTCGAATGCACAATACTAGACACACCGCGGTAGTTCTCGATTCTTTCGTTACACGTTAAAGGCGGGTTCTCAAGGGGACGAGTGTCAGTTTTGCCAAGTCGAACTTCCGCTCACGTTACGCCGACGAAGTCGTATCGTTGCAGTGGAAACTCTATCTGGCTCGGTTTAACGTCCCGCTCTATTTCTCCGCGATACGTTTCCCTCGCTCCTCTTCGCCTTTTCCCCGCGTTTCCGAATAATAAGCTCCGTGGAAAAAAGAAGGAACGCGGTGAGGGAATCGCGGAGGATCGTTTCGCAATTGCGCGATAAGGATTGAAACGAGAGTTCAGTGCCGTGACTAATTATCCGCGTTGCACGCGGGTGCAACTCGGATTCCCGGCTTATCGCCACCTATCGAACGATTCGCGTTAATTAGACGGCAGAAGTCTGGATCATTCCTTTGGATCGACGATAATCGTAATCGCAGAAGTATTTCGACACGCGGATACGGGGATGATCGTGTCGCTGAGTGTGAACGAAAGTGAAATTGAATTTGGGACCTGTGAACCTCTTCTGGAAATATTTTCCAATTAAAATTCCTTTTTATTCGATATCAAATGTCAATATATTCCCATATGATTTTTATTTAATCAACTTAATTTTCGTAACAGTATCGCGATTTTTTTTTTTTTTTTTAACAATTCTCAATGATTTGAGGATCTATGAATTTTTTTTATGAGAAAATGATTGGTTTTTGGAAATAATGGAGTTTGAAATTAATATCGGTAGATAGTGATAAAGTGTTTTAATTAAGTTTTGAATTATTTTATTTTTTCTCCGGAATCCCTATGGTGATTATAATTGGATGTTATGGGGAAGAAATTAAATTTGGCGAAGTTGATTTGAAAAAATAAATTGATTTTTCGAGGAAGTTTTCTGATTCGTGAAGACTCCGTACCGTCATGATTCTGACAGTATTCTTGACGTATCGTGATAACCAATTTTCAAAAGCTATTTAAACTTCTGCGCTCAGCACCTGCACCCTACTTCAAACTTCCAATTGAATTTTGCTACTCCATTTCTCCGGTAACCCGCACTTTAAAAAACAATTTTAAAAAATCCTTCTTTTAAATACAAATTAAATTCCAGTATAAAGATCACGGAAGTCCCAGAAATACGACGAAACTTCCGAAATAGATCAGATCTTCTCTCTAGTACGGTGTTTCTCAACTGAATTTTCGCGAATCTTTAGGAATCCTGATCATATCCCAGATTCTTTGACATTCTAGGAATCTTAGATATTTTTGAAAATCCTGGATAGTTTTGGGACTTCGGGTATTTTTGAGAATCCTAAATAGTTTTAGAATCCCATTCCGATTTCGAGAATGATTCACCTCTCGATCTCCATAAAATTTTTCATCCCCATCCTACGAAAAATTCTCGACTCGATCCCAAGAAAAATCTACATCTCAATCACGACAAGATTTTTCATCCTGATGATGATAAAATTTCTGTCCTGGTCTCAAAAGATTCCCGTCCTGTTCTCGAAAAAATTTTTGATCTTGATCCTACGAAAAATTCTCGACTCGTTCCCAAGAAAAATCTCTATTCGATCTCAAGAAAAATCCACATCTCAATCACGACAAGATTTTTCATCCCGATGACGACAAAATTTCTGTCCTGGTCTCAAAAAATTCCCGTCCTGGTCTCGAGAAAATTTTTGATCTTGATCCTACGAAGAATAATCGACTCGATCCCAAGAAAAATCTCCATCCGATCTCAAGAAAAATCCGTGTTTCAATGTCGACAAAACTTTTCATCCTGATCTCGAGAAGAATTTCTATCCCGGTCTCAAAAAATTCCCGCCCTGTTCTCGAGAAAATTCTTCACCCCTATCGCGCGAAAGATTCTCCCCATCCTAAGAAAAACTTCTATCCTGATCTCAAGAAAAATTCCTGTCCCGAGAAAATCTTCCATCTCTCTCCTAAGAAAATTTTCCGTCCCGATGTGGAGAAAAATTCCATCGAATCTTGATTCGACATTTTCCAGATCCCTCGCACCCCTAATCGCGACATATCGGTGGAGAAACACCGCACCGAATCAGAGAAAAAGCATCGAAATTTGCCCAATAGACACACGATCTCGTAAGACTCGGAGATCTAGATCGTGGAGCAAATAATAGTCCGAAAGACTGTTCCTTCGTGCAATAAATCCATTCTTGTTCCTAATCGCAGAGCGATCAAGAGTTGACCGGTTGAGCGCGAAACAACCAAAGAGGAGTGCAGTGAACGAAACCAAATCGATACCAAAAGAGGAGGGGAAGTTAGCTCGATTTAGGGGAAGGAGGCGGTGGAGGCGGAGGAGGAGGAGGAGGAGGAGGAGGAGGAGGTGGTGGCGGCTAGTCGTTTTTCGTTTTTCGAGATGATGCAACCAGGGTATCGCGCGAGTTTCGCTTGAGAGTAGAGAATCCTCGGGTTCGGTGAAGTGTTCACGGGAAAAAAGAAGTAAAAGTGACGAGTGAAAACAGGAAGATCAAGACGGCCAAGATGATGAAGAAGGAGAAACCGATGATGTCGGTGACCGCCATCATCCAGGGGACTCAGGCCCAGCATTGGTCCCGTGGGAACACTTGTATGTATACACTGACAACATGTATTCGTATAATTGATCGTTTTCCTCGATTTGTACAGGGTGTTTCATTTGAAAATTTTAAACTCGATTTTTTAACCTTTGCAGTCTGTTATAGGGGTGTTTATTTATCTTCGGTGCCCCACAAATTTAAAGATAGCTCGAAAAACACACAATTTTCGAGGTGTTTATTAAAATTAACATATTTCTCGTAAAAATGAAGATATTTTCACTTTCTCCTTCTTATTTTATCGCAAAATCTACGTAATTTTGTATGAAAGAAAGAGAAAAATTATTTCGTATAATTTTTATTTTTCTTTGGTTTCAGGAAGCTAAAGAAAATTGCAATAGTATATGTTAGAGTTTAAAGCACTGGTTAGTGAAATTAAAAAGATTCTCAGGATGCAAAGGTTTAGTAAATTGAAGACGGTAGATAATAGTTTTATACGAGGAGCAAATTTGTTCAATTAAATTCCGTTTGTAATTTAGCTCGCTATAAATGGATCACCCTGTACGCGCGGAATCCAATACTTTTCCAGTTATGTGTGCGAAAGCGACAAAGAGAGGTCCCATTCTCTGCGCTGTCACACGCGTACCATTTATTGCATTCCCGAGTCATTAGTTTACGCAGGTTTCACAAGAATTATATGAGCAGGCTAATAAAACACGGTGTTGCATTAAAGCTCCTCGCGAGATTGCATAGCAACGTTAATTGCTCGTGTATGTGAGGCGTATTTGTTTCTCATAAAGTCCTCTTTGTTCCACATTTCAGCTTAGACTCTGTACCTTGTGGCTGTCTTTTAAATTACCCTTATCGATACGTGTGGTAATTCTTCTTATTAACTATCTTCTCGTATACGGCTTTTCTAACCTATCGAATTATAATTTCATCATAGGGTCACCTATTATTGGATATATATTTCCTTTTTCTTTTATATACAACAGAATTTCTCAACCTTTCTTGGCTTAGAACCCTGTTTTCTAATTTTCCATACGGTCTCCAAGAATTTGAATTTCTAGAAAATACACGTGGGTATTTGTATTTGAATTTTTAATTATATAAATTAATTTATATAAATATTTTTACGTGGCTCCAGAAATTCAGTGTCAGGTTAACCGTCGGCCATATTGGTTCCCTTTCCAAATTTTATTTATTTATTTATTTATGTATTCGCTGGTGATAGAACTGATTAGTTACAGTGGAAGAGAATATATAACAGAATATTAGAAAATTTTCTTTAAATTTGACAGAAATTTGAATTTGTAGAAAATACACGTATTTTTAATTCGAATTCATTTATAGATGCTTAGTATAAATATTTCCAAGTGCCTTTAAAAATTTGGATTACGTGATCTTCACTGGAGATCGATGGCACTTGTTGAGAAATCGTGATCTAGAAGAACGTGGCCCATAGATTTGCATGCCGTATTTAAAGCTGTAATTTTGTACTAAACGATACACGTCGTTTGGCAAATGCACAGCTAATTATAGCTCTCACGATTTTTTTTTTGCTGATTAAAATTGATGTCACTTGAAATACCTCGTGCCGTGAATTTCAAGCTCTAATGGTACCTAAACGAAACCGACTGTTGAAATGTGCGAACGGTAATTAGCATACTGCTGGTAGACGGTCAATTAGCACCGGAGTCAAGGCTTGCTCTTATCTGTGCTCGAAATTATCTGTGTTATACTTTCGCAATAACTGTTGCAGTGAAATAATTGCACGAAATGACCATCACTCGAAGTCAAGCGTTCTCGAAGACTTTGCGAATCGAGTGCAATTTTATGAACTAAAATTGCAGAATTTTCCTCTTCCAATTTCAAAATGAATATAATTATATTTTTTAGGGATTGTCAGATTCGTTTCAGTCACGAGTAAACCCGGACTAAAATTATTGCATGCTGGCAATGGTATTTATTTAGATCCGCAATTTTATAAGAGTCCGGCGTCTGACTAAACATAGGACCAATCTACTTAACGCTAAATCCATTACGGTTTAAGTGAACCCGATTTTAAACGTTGTCCACTGATTTCTTTATGATACATTTATAATCGATTTGTCGATAATTATTTCTCTTATTTTATTTGAGATTCGTATGTACTCGTTATATCGTAATATACCTGTAATCAATATTATCAGTATATATTTCCTTTCTTATTTTATGTTATTTATTTCTTCTTATTTGTTCTGTTTTCTATGAAATTTATGTTTAGCCTGTTTTATGTACCCCAATTAATCAACCGACCGTTTAATATTATTTTTAATGTGAAAATTAAAACTGATCTTAAACCTCGCAATTTTTACTTCAAAAAATTGCCAATTTATTTCAGTAAAATCATTTTGCTTTTAAAATGACGCGATAAAAGCGTAATTAGCATTATTGAAACCCACGCTATTTTCTAAACTTCTACCCTTTTCTCCCACTCAACACCCACGACAGGGAACAAAATGATCAAACTTTCATCCACCAAAGAAACACGTATAATCTACATTCACGGGTCAAAAGTGATTACCTCCGTCGTTAAAATTTATAAAAATTTCGCTGAATTCTCGAATTCGATTAATGTTCAATTTTCTTTTTTTCTTTTTTAAGTAAACTGTAATTTATCTGTAAATGATCGATTCATACTATCATCGAGACATCGATATCTAGATAACAAAGTGTGTGATCTACATTCACAGGTCAAAATCGATTATCTCCATTCTTAAAATTTATAAAAATTTCACTGTCAAAGTACTCGATTTTTTTTTTTTTCAAATAAATTATTGTTAGTTTCGCGGCGACTATAGATTCGGCAAATGATCTCATACCATCATCGAGACATCGATATCTAGATATCAGAGTGTATGATCTATATTCACAGGCCGGAAACGATTATCTCCATCCTTAAAATTTATAAAAATTTCACTAAAAAATATTTTATTGATGCTCCATTTATTTTTTTTTAATTTTTTTCGATAAATTGTTGTTAATATCGCGGCGTCAATAGATTCGGCAAATGATCGACTCATACTATCATCGAGACATCGATATCTAGATACCAGAGCGTGACTCACGGTCCTGACACCCGCTCGCCGAGCGACGCGTTTAACGCGCGCGTCTGAACGCGTAGGGTGAAGGTCGGCTATTGAAGCTTGAATGGCGTGTAGAATTCGCGAGTGAAAACGCATGCGTGCGCGGCGCTCTCGCGAGCCGGTCGTTATCAGTCGCGGCTTTAAAAGCGGCCTTAAAGCGGCCCGCGAACACTCGCCGCGAGAAGGTCACGCCAATGCGCCTCGTTATCTACGCCCCTGCCGCAATTTACGAGGCTTTTCGAGCCTTATCGCGTGCCCCTATTGCCGGCGGACACGCGGAATGACGCATTTCGAGTTTCACATGGACTCTTCTTTTTTTCCTTCTTCGTCGTTTTCCCTTGCTTCCCATCTCCTTTTCTCTTTTTCTCTTGCTACGGGATGAGTTACGTTGATGGGTTGTAGGTGGAAGACGATGGTAGGCATTATGTAGATCGTAATGACTCGTTCGTGGGGAGTTTAGTGTTGTTCCAGGTGGAGAATAAATTAATTATTTTTAATTAATTTTTTTGGTTTCAAGGGTTAATTATATGGGGATTTACCAGGTTTTGTTTGGGATTAGTACATTCGTCTTGGTAATTTTTGACGGGGTAAATGGTAAATGGGGGTAATGATAAAGTAATTTCATAATTGTCGAAAAGATGAGTTTAGTTATATGCAAAAATCAATCTAGGATATAAAATATGAATATATAGTTATATTATAGTATAGGACTAGATTGCGGGAACAAATGTTTATATAAACATTAGATAAAAATTGGAGTTTAGGGTATGATATAGGTTAGGATATGAACTCTGTCATATACCCTTTTGACACCCTGTCACGAGTCAGTCTGCTTTAGAGAAGCACTCAAAGATAAATATACATTACTTCCTCGAGTAATAAAAGAATTTAAACCTTTGCACTCAGCGATCTTTTCGTTATAGGAAAATAGTAATTCGAAGATATTCGCCCACAAAGTCGACATTATTTTTAAAACAGTATATAAGAAATCGTATTCAAATTAAGAATTATTTTACTTCGACATTCCACGCATCATTGGATAAATTTAAATTTGATATATTAATTAACATCGGTTTTTAGAATTTGATTAAATGGCGACTGGTGGTTGCCTCGCGAGTACATAGAGTTAAAATATAACCCGAAGGACCTGCACCCTCCTTGTAAGATTCCACTGCTTTCTCGTTCATTTGAACATCCGAACCGTGTGCTAGGTTTACCATCAATGCATATGACACTATAATCATCTTGATAATCGAATTGCGATGTCTCCATCGGCTTCTCCGAGCTAATTATCGTAATAGCCGCCATCTTCCCCATTTCCTGCTCCCTAATTCGACAAGAACATGGCTGCCATAGTCGCAAATTCGAATAATCGTGTCGCTGCAAGCGATCGCAGACCACCCTGACACTTGGCCTCCTCTCCTAGAGAGTGGTCGCGGAAAGTGAACTTCACCTCCTGCTCACAATTTCCGCGGCTCTATTTGCTCAGCCTAGACCCCTGGCCCAGCCTCCGCTGTGCACGCGTGTCCGTCCACACGGTCGCGCGTACACGCGCAGCAGCGTATGATAAGAGCACAGGTCGGTTCGTGCTGGTTCGATTAATCCACGCACCAGCACGAACGCAACCTTGGCACCGATGCGAACCAGCCGTGAAGTGCAGCCTCCGTCGCGGCTCTACACGCGTGCACCGGTACTCTCCCGTTTGATTAGCTTCTTCGTACGCCTTGACAGCGCGTGGGTGTTGGCCTGCTGATTTCCATCGATTCCGAACAGGTCTGAGCTTGACAAACTTAGCACTCACACGTCCACCGTGTCAGCTCTTGGGAACTGACAGTGAACTTCTCGTTTAGGTCCCGTTGGTCCGTGGGGACTGATAGAGTGTACTTAGTATTGTCAGGATTACAAGATGAACGTTGTAAATGTTA